TTAATTGTAAACATATAAATGTATAGACAATAGTGTTAGCGTTAGTGTGATGGTAAGAATTTCCCCTGAAGATAACAAACGAGCTGGCAAAATGTACGTAAGTTATAGTGTAATATACAGCTACAAATAAAAAAAATCTACAAAAAATAAGATAGGCCTAATAACTATTTAAATATAAATATTATGCCTCCTAGGCAAGAGGAACTTTCTTTGTACTCCCACAACACAACCAAATAAGACCTGATTATGATGGAACGAGAACAGGAATAATGAAGTTTACTCTCTTATTTACATGTCTTAACAAACGAGCTGGCAAAATGTACGTAAGTTATAGTGTAATATACAGCTACAAATAAAAAAAATCTACAAAAAATAAGATAGGCCTAATAACTATTTAAATATAAATATTATGCCTCCTAGGCAAGAGGAACTTTCTTTGTACTCCCACAACACAACCAAATAAGACCTGATTATGATGGAACGAGAACAGGAATAATGAAGTTTACTCTCTTATTTACATGTCTTGATGAAACATGACAACATTGATAGTTGATGGATAGCTTCAACGTACTATCATCAAGAAACTAACATTTGAAAGCAAAGAATGATGCATGTAAGGGTCAATTAAAAAGTTTGTTCGAGTAGTGCATGCACCAAGGGTTGCAGTAAACATGCAGAGTAGATTGGCACTTTGTACATGCTTGAGCGCAAGTTAAATTTTGTTTCGACATGTTTAATCCTTCACATCAAAACCCCACAGTCCTAACAATTACAATTGAATCGTTTAATATTCAAAAATGAGTAATCAACAATTTTGATTGCACTTGACTTAACGAGTAATTTGGTTTGATTGAACAGGTAAAGAAACTGTGTTTACCTACGACCGTTTTTTAAAGTAGGTAGCCATTTCAGTTCAGTTCTTAGAATTGAAAAGTTTCACTTAACAACTGTTTACTTTCATATCAGCATAGATTCATTTCATATCAGCATAGTTTTTCTCATATCAACACGGGTAACGGACCAATGAGGTTCAAGGATTGAGAGAAAAGAAGTACAATTGTAATACTTCGAACGTCAACTAATCAGCTGATCAGCTGATCAGTTGACAATTTTAATTGTTGATCCGGCTTGTTCCTGTTGATACTCGCGTATTCTTAACCTAAGTTGGTGGAAGTTAAATGAAGGTTGATTTTAAAATATCAGTTAGTGAAAGTGATTTGACGAGATAGAAATGAGAGCACAAACTGTTTGTGCTAATTTTTTTCCACCAAAATCAAAAATGCTGCTAGCAGAACCTATTGCCTGAAAAAGTAACGTATTATTTAACAAAGTTTTACAAACAAACACGTAATTACATGAAATCAGCTGATTATACAATAAGTCGTTGCATCACTTTCAGTGACAATGACAATAAACGAAAACATAACCTCTCTAGGAAGTTAGGAAGTTATACCATAGACAAAATTTATACACTCGTAGAAGTTTTTCTACTCGTGTCGTAAAGACTAACTTAACGCAATCGTTGCGTAAACTACTATTACCACATTCCGGTTTGTTACCTTAAGAAGCAAATTGCAGCTATAAAAATAAACACTTTACTTATGCAAATATTAACCATGCCTTTTAGGTTATAGTAAAAACAAACTAGTACAGTCTGGCCCTGATAAAAGTCAGTAACTGTTTGATGGCTCGAGACTGGACGACAGTTGTCATTAATCTTGGACTTTTGTTCTGGCTAAGGAACCAGCTGATTTAAGTAAGAAATATATGATACTAGCTCGATGAAAGTGTTAACTTGACATTCTTCTATGGCTGCTGCGATAGTGCGATATATCCAAATTGGAGGTCCGCTAGTTCTCAATTCCACAATTGTAGGCGTACGTGGTAGGCTGGCCTAGTGCGCCGCTGACCACATTTCCACCTTGTGGTTCCATCGACTCCTCATTTCCATCGTTCACGCTCTATATCGCGGTCGCTCGAGCACGGCAAATTAATTATAGTATTTGTCCATTCACATGAGCGGTGAAATCGTGTAGGCTGTGGCCCAAACCGCGCTGGCGGGAAACAAAGCTTATCTAACCTTGTACAGTATCTACCTGTCGAATTTAATTATCAGAATTGCCTAATGATTTTGAAATTTATTGGCCAATCCGATGATAAGCTTTTACTTTCTAAAAGTACCTGTTTTCACGGGAATTGATACTATCTATTCGCTGTAACCACATTTGGTGGGGATTTCAAAATGTAATTGAAATTCCATAGATTGGAGATATTTTCATGATTTATTACAATGTAATGTTGGTCCATATTGTGTATTTCAAGAAGTGAACATCAAATTAATCACAACTCAGGGATTGCAACTGCAAAAAAATATTAATTGTATCGATCACATGATTAACCCAAGTATTTGGCAAATATTAATTTACAGTATTTCAATGTCCTAAGTAGGTAAGCTTAGGTAATCCTTTAACAGCATACTCTATCTCTAAACTAAGCCAGTAACGCATTTTGAAGTATTTTAAGCTGAACACATACCTAGGAGGGTAAGAGTAGAATGGAGGGATAATAATCTGTGTAGGTATCTTACTGGTTACAATCAGCTCACCAACTGGCAATTTATTAATAATCAATAATATTCCAGACCCAAAGACATTACACAAACTCAAAAAAAGTAAGAGGGGTTTTCATCAAAAGTGTTTTAGTTACCATTACACCATTTTTGCTACCAGGTCTGTTCGACAATCATCGTATGATTGAACAATACTTGAACGAAAGCGAAAGTCCCGCCAAGTCCCAGGGGTGCGACTTTCGCGGGTAATCGCCCTCTTGGAGATCCTCTTCAGGACCTTCCGTATTGTTCAGAATTGGTTACAGCCAACGACAGTCCCAGCCCTCTCAGCGTGTTCGTATTTTGTATCTGATCGTTTCAGATGCTTTCTATTTGAAAGTAGTGAAGTGATGCGCTGGTCGTGTCGAATGACTTGGTTCCACAGGCAATTCTGCTCATCATCCCACACTTCAGTTTCAGGATCTTCCGATCTTCCATGGTAATCCGGGACACCTTACATCTTATATGATTATCTTGTGTTGAGGACACCTTAAAAGGATTCGGGTGTTTATCAGCAGACAGTATTTTGTTAACGTTGATTCAAGTAGATTTATAGTAATTTAACAGTTGCTTTCAAATTGTATATCCACTTACATGTTAAATCTCATATCATCATTGCATCTTCATCCGTCCTTCTTACTACCGGCTTGCTCGACAACGCCTAAAAGGTTATCACTACCGCATCATCTGATCTTCTAAACAAGTTCCCGATTTCTCGTCTTTCAATACACTTGATTCTCGGTGTTTCTAATGTTGATCGTTATATCTACCTAAGTTTGATATTTCACTCAATTGATGTATACCAGAACATATAGTACGGCAATATAGAATGTGCATAATGAAAACTGCATTCAAGTTAGGTTTCACAATTTTCGAAATGAAGCGTTTCCGACAATTTAATCATGTAAACTTCATATATTACTTAATATTTCCCACAGGTCAATTTGTTTATTATTAAAATCTACCAACAGAATTTTACTTAAGCTGTATAAAAACAATCGATGCTATCACAACAATACGAAAAGTTATCACAAGTCTTGTTGTAATTTGTCTGTTGTTAAAAATACGAAAATTTAACCTTCCGAATAGAGGTCGGGGTTATCATTTCTGATTGAAGTGTTTAGTAAAAAAGCTGTAGACTAGCTCAAGATTATGCGAGTACTCTACACGTGACCGTAAATATGCAATTTGTATCCAATATTAACATGTTTGTTAGGCCTCCACATTGCTCATTGCCCAGCCCCTGTTGTTGTGGTCACTATAGCCTCCTATAATATTGATTGAATAATTAAATTATATTCAAGCATGTTGTCTTTCTGAATCCTTGTATAAATATCTACAGTTTCTGTGTAAATATCTATAATACATGAAACAGTTTTTTTGTGTGAACACTACTCCTCCCTTGGTTGTGGACCAATTTCAACGTTCGAGTCTTCAAATAATTCTTCTTAATTTGTAGTTTTTCAGTAAGCTTTTAGAATTACAAAATCCTTACCCATAATGGCACACGAGGCACTCTAAAAGGTCGATTTTCCCCATAAGAATTACATTGAACTGATATAAAAACAAAAACAGCGCTTTATAAAAGAAAATCGTCACATTTTTTGGGAGTAAATGTTGATGTTTGTATTCAGAAGGTTATAAGTTCAGTTCAGTTTTGTTGGAAGAACAGGGTAGTGCCGAATATTAAAAACAGAAGGAGGAGACAAATATTAAGAGATCTATGCGTTTTAAGAGTAGAAGAGAAGCCTAATAGTAAGGAATCCAGACACACACTCACTTGGAGAGATGAATAATATTTGCCAGTTCTGCTATGCAACTTACTTTGGATGTGAAAAAACACACGAAGAACATACAAATCTGTTGGTTACAATGGTAAAGTGGTAAAACATGCCTAATGCCAGTTAAAATTAATAGACTACATGCAAGAAATGTTTACTGGCAACAGCTATGGGTAGGCTAAGTCGGGAAACATTTGTACAAAACACTAATATCAAAGTGAAAAGGAATTCAGATATTCAACGTTGATTTTCACTCTATATTATAGGGAAACGTGTTTTCAAAAGTCATATACCTTCAATTTGGATTAAACATTTATTTCAACATTGAAGTACGGTATTGGTCTTCAAATCAAAGTTACTACTTTTATGGTATATCTTAGATATTATGGGAATTGTAATAAATAAATATTAAAAGTTTCGAGATGGTTTTTAATTAGCTTTTTTGTGAAGTTGAAGTTGTCAAGCAGATGGTTAGTCTTTTCGCAAAACAAATTTGGTAAACGCTTTAAAGCTAGTCATTTGTTATTCTTTTAGCAAAATTTTACAATTTTAAAGATCCACACTTGTTTTCTATTTATATGCAGTTAACTTATTTTGGTTTGGTTTTTCAGATCCCAGATCGAAAACGAAGCCTATCAGGAGGTTTACAATTTGCCAAGTGAGTATTGTTTGCACAAACCCTATTGTCGATATATTTTGGGACACATCAAGTTTCAATATTGAAATGATAATTGAAAGATGCATGCATTCGTAAAACGTATTTACCTACAACCGTTTTTTTAAAGTAGCCATTTCAGTTCAGTTCTTAGAATTGAAAAGTTTCACTTAACAGCTGTTTACTTTCATATCAGCATAGTTTCATTTCATATCAGCATAATTTTTCTCATATCAACACAGGTAACGGACCATTGAGGTTCAAGTATTGAGAGAAAAGAATTAAAATTGTAATGCTTCGAACGTCAACTAATCAGCTGATCAGCTGATCAGTTGACCAATTTAATTGTTGATCTGACTTGTTCCTGTTCATACTAGCGTATTCTTAACCTAAGTTTGTGGAAGTTAAAGGAAGGTAGATTGGTAGATTAAACTGATTTAATAATGTCAGTTAGTGAAAGTGAAGTTGACGAGATGGAAATGAGAGAACAAACTGTTCATAATATTCTATAATATTCGATGCTGAGATCTAACTGTAAATTAACTGTTTCACTATAATCATTCAGTTGTCAAAAACAAAATGCAAAGTTTTCCTAATTGTAACTGATACAGTATTTATGGTAAGAATGCTGCTAGCAGAACACATTCCCTGAAAAAGGTAACGTATTTTGTTAACGAAGTTTTACAAACACGTAATTACAGGAAATCAGCTGATTATACAATAAGTCGTTGCATCACTTTCCTTTCATTGGCACTGACAATAAACGAAAACATAACCTCTCTAAGAAGTAATGAGTAGTGATTTTTAGTAATTAAAAACCAGATTGTTAGTAATTAAAAAACTGTCGTAGGTAAAGTAGTGTACGCAACTCGCGTTAATAGTCTTTACGACACTCGTAGAAGTTTTTAAGGCACTCGCCAAGGCTCGTGCCTTAAATTTTCTACTCGTGTCGTAAAGACTAACTTAACGCAATCGTTGCGTAAACTACTATAAGGTAATGGGCTTTGATGTTAAAATAAAAAAAAAAATATTTCATAGGAATCTCGTTAAAACATCTTACTAATTTCTCTCAGATGATAGAAGATGGATTTCATATTTTGAGTATTATTTATTGGCCGCACATTAAGTACACCGCAGTTTGCCACATTCTTACCGCACTCTTAACAAAAAATTGTGGTAACAATCGTTTCCATTGCGCAAGACCAGCGGCTGTAAAGTAGTTTTGCAAGTAGGCTAAGTGTCAAGAACATCCCAAAATGGAATTCAATCGTTGGTAGGCTCTACGGGATTGTTACCAGTCTCAATTATGTACATATAAACGCCTTTCAATTATGATTTGTGAAAAATTATCATTGTTGAGTTTTTCAGACAGTTTTCTTACGATTTGTTATACATCTGTTTTGTTGACTCCAATGATGACAGCAAATATGTAAATCTTCGTTTGAAGCTGATTTTTAGCCAATTCGAGAACGTTGAAAAAACTACGTAGAACGTAGAACTCCGAGAAAACTTCGTTTTTTTCACATTGGTAGTATGACAAATGTCCATTTCCATACTCTAAATAGAAGATACACAACCTTCAAGCTGAAAATGAAAATCAATAGCCAAACATGATTCCATAAATAGTCACACGCCGTCCACTCCACTAAGGTATGATTACAGAGTTGCCAGTACACGTCGTAACCCGTTTACGGTACTATCAACACCAGTAAGGCAAGACACTAGAGGTGATGTTAAAGCGCCTATTGTGTGAGAGGTGTGTTGTTCCTTTCACTGTAACATCCCTTGCTATTCCACTCCCTCGCGACCTCCACGACGTTACAACTCACGAGCTGGCTGGGTGAGAGATGTGGTGGATGGGAGCGCGGCAGTGGTCCGAAAGTCAGTACTCCGAAAGGCACTGGTCCGAAAGAAATTACATGGTCAGGCACTGCTTCGAATGGCATAATTTCGAAAGGCACTGGTTCGAAAGTCACAACTCCGAAAGTCACTAGTCAGAAACTTTTTTTGCATCCAGGCACTGGTCCGAAACAATATATGCATCCAGGCACTGTTCCGAAAGTTATAACACCGAAAGTCGAGATCCATGCAGTGGTCCGAAAGGCAGTGCTCCGAAAGGCACTGGTTCGAAAATTATTTTCTGACTACTGCCTTTCTGAGTATTGCCTTTCGGAGCAGTGCCTGACCATGCTTAATCTGTCGGAGTTGCTCGGACTAAATCTGTCGGACCATGCCACGTTTCAGGTGTCACAGTAATAATGTCATTCATTGTGCCATATTGAGACAGAGACACAATGCTGTTTATATTTATCTGAAGATGAGTGGAGCATGAGTTCTGTGAGATGCTTTGTTATTGAAAAGGAGGGGAATTTATTAGAAGATCAATGCTCAAAGGGTGCAATTTGTAAATATTAAAAAGCTATTGAGTTTTCTCAAAACTGAACCATTGATGTTCCCTCCGAATGTCAAAATTCCAACTTTGAAATGTCAACACGTTTCGCGAGGTGTATTTTATTTATTGTGTAACAGAGATTGGTGAATGTAAATCGTGAAATCTAACAATAAAAACTATAATTTTTAATTGAAAGTCGAATATGTGAAAATATTAACATACCAATATAAGACCTGTCAATAATCAGTATAACCCACTGTGTCCATTCTACATTATAGCCAGGTACAACAAAATAATGCATTTAGAGTTTACCATTAAGGTTATGACATGACCCAGTTGTTTAAAACCCACCTTAAGCTGTAGTCGATTTACCTACTAAAAATCGTTGGATCTCTCAAGTAGGAAGAACCTCTAAGGGTACCGCAATGCATAACTCCCTTCACTAATTTTCGATTAATATTTATACTATAGCTGAAATGAAAGATTATCCACGCACCTTTATCATGCTCAAATGCACCAGCTCAGGGTGTTATTTACATGTATTTGGTTGCATCAGATTGCCGATGGGGTGCGGAGACGAGGTATCTTGTGAAAGGTATCGCTGATGCAGATGGCCGCGTTAGATGTCGGGAAATTATCTAACTCCGCAGTTTTCTGGGTAATTTCGCTGATTTTGTAAATACCATAAAACGGTGAATTACTGTGGATGGGTAAAGCATGGGATGTAAAGAGCATCAGTATAATGTTCGAGTGTGGCCAGATCCAATACATTGTGATAATGACAATGTGGAAGGGGTATATTATTCTTTACTTACTGGTATAGTTTATTTCTTTGTCCAGATTTTCATAGCTGGCAACAACAATGATAAGATTGTCACACCAGGAGATTTTCATGTGTGTGCAAATGTTAAAACTGAAAATTTAACAGTTTTAAGATAGATTGTAGTAATGTATGTGGAATTATACAGTGACATATACAGTCTTTGGTCAGAATATTTTAAAGTTCGTTAAAATAACAAATAGGTATCAAAATGCTCTCTACTTTTCCCATCATCCCGGCTAAATGCCTTAAAATTGTCTTAGCTGATCCATTCAGATATCAATTCATAGGCTTAGTTTTGACTTATCTAATCTGTGGTTTAATTAATTTACACATTTTGTTTGAGAATTTCGTCACTTCTAGCTTATCAACTCTTTAGCCAAGGTCTATGCGATTTAGTTAGTATATTCTGGTACCGTAATATAGAGTAACCTTTTTGAATACCTTACTGCATTGTTCAGCTTTCATTTGAGTTTCAGTTGGTCGCGAGACAGAAGCGGCTTTTACAAAGATACAACTAACGTTTTACATTAACCGATAAGCGCCAGGGCCATCAAAACACATACAGAGCAAGCGGCAATGGTAATAGAGGCGCGATTATAGCCATATTGCCCGGCGGCTCGCGGCTCGCTGCGCGCTGAGCAATTGTGAATATTTCTACCATAACGTCCAGGAAACATCGGCGGAGTGTGAAGTGAGATAACCCGCGGTCACTCAACCTTTCCGCCTCCGACTGACTCATTCTAGTGTCTTGGACGTCTCCAGAAAACATGAGCAAAGATTTGCAACCACTTTGGAAGCTCTACAGAAACATGTTAGGTAGCAAATCTCAATCTTTTGTCCCAGTGTCACTTGAATGTCTTGATCGTCGAGGTAAAAAAGATAGCTAAAAGAAAATGTAGGGCCTACTTGAAAAACGTGGAAAAATGTGTAGCGTGATGTTTTCTAGCCATGGAAATGTTTGACTAGTAGGCTACATTACTAGTGTTTTCGAAGTAACCTACGAATATTTCCGCATGTATATTTCAGAATATAGATTGGTATTTCTTTTTCTGTGATTGAACGTACAGAAAAATAAATGTCCCAAACATACTTAATAGGAAAAAAAAAACTTTACGAAATGGACTATGTGAGAAAACTAGGGAGCAATTCAGTGATTCGTTCTTGCGAACGCCAATTGCGTTATTGTATACATTATTAGTACGTAACAGTTAAGCTGCTACGAATATTTCAAACTTTCTTCTTGTGTGCCTCACTTTCATATATTTGACATCGTGCTCGTGACAATAAAAACGCCTTAAAAATGAACCAAATAATAAAATTTAATTAAGTGGAATTAAAAATATGTAACCAATTTTAGACATGCTTAATTATTGAACTAAACAAAATGTAAGTTCCCCTTTACTAATTCTACCTAAACTCTTTCCCAAGAGTTCATCAATCCATCTCCACAACTTCCCACACGTTGTCACTAAGATCTCAGACTTCTATGCAAACTGTCAACCCATGACCTTCGGTCCTCTAGCATGCAAATGGAGCTTTATATCTGCCTTAAGATACAATTTATATTCTTTTGGAATAAAATGTAACGGGTGTCGCTCCGTGAATATTCAAATCGATGACAAACAAATGAATTTTCCATAAGCCTTTAAGTGTTCTATGTTTGTGTGAGTAAATTTCCACATGAACGTATCAAGTTCACCCGGAACGATCCTGAATGTTGTTTTTTTAATAATTGTTAAAATACAGCTTCATTCTTGTTTCTTTAAATCAGTTCAAGCAAGTAGATGA